GCAGCCAGACGTGGGCCCCGGTCTCTGGCGAGAGAGACATAGTTTCCCAAAGGACAGATAATGGACACCGTCACCATTTCAACCCGGAAATCATCCTTGGACTCCTTTTTGCCCTCTCCTATTGACTTTCTGCTCCGCACTTCGGACTGTTTATTATCTTTGGACACAAACCTCCCGATAAGGTCTGCCTTGAAGTGCAGGCGGCCTCCGTTTCCGCGCACCTTCATCGAGGGATCATGAAATTCCCGTTTTGCTTAAATAATAAAAATCAATTATTTTAATAAACTTTGCTTGGGGTGGGGATGGGATTGTTTTATGAAATGTATGTAATGAGATATCATATAGTGTATACTGTGTTCCCGTTTTCCGCCTTTCCCGCTGACCCTTGCCCCATAAGGATGTGACCTGGGGATTACTGTCTTGGGGAGAAGCTCCTTTGTTCTCCCGAAACCCTTCCTGATTGCTTCACTTGCATGGACAATACTGTTGTTTCCTCAACCCTTGCCCTCGGAGCAGACCAGCGAGGGGAGGGGGTCAACAGGAACTCGGAAAGAAAAGATTGATTAAATCACCCAGGTATCGTTGACCCCCCCGAGGTCCGATATTGAAAAAGCCTTTTCATATTCCCCCCAAATCCCATCACAGACCAGGAAACTCATTGTTCCCCTATCTGACACCCCGCCAGTGAGGACAAAGGCCTCACATTCCAGCTGGCGGATGCCCCTAGGCTCATCATTTCCTCAGTCATTGTCAAGCTTCGTCCCGCCTTCTAGCTGCCGATTGGTCCATCTTCAGAGGTGCTAGGAAGGCACTGATTGGCCTCCCAGAGGCGGCGGAGCCCGCTGATTGGTCCAGAGGCGAGGCATGCCGCCAAGCCTCCTCCCAGCTGTTCCGCGGCCAGCCAATCAGCGTGAAGCCGGCCGGCAGAGGGCGGGCAGGAATTTTGAAACTGTTTTCCTTTGTCTGCACACTATAAAAATGGAAATTCTGTAAAATTATGCTTGTATGTGAATGATCACTACAATCGCATCCTTTTCAGCTGAATCGCAAAATAAATGCCTCGGTCACTGAACTTCTTCCGCCTCCGGTGAGATTAATTTTAAATATTTTTATATTCTTTGGATTGGCTTCCGCTGGCCTCACCGAGGTTCGAGGACCCCTTTGAGCGGTCCTAAGGGATCTCTCCCGCCAGGAGACCCCCCAAAAGAGCTCGATATCACTTGGACCCACTGAATCTAGTGAGAATAGTGTAAACTAATTCATGTGTACTTTCCACCGAAACCAGTGGACTCAATTCTATGGCAAGTGGATGGAAAATGCAGCATAGATAACTTTGAATGCAGAGAAGAGGAAAGGGATCATATCTGAAATATTAACTCCCTTTCTGTGCCAGAAGAATTTAAGTATGAGCACAACCTCTAATTGTTTAGATTAGGCAATTCCCACAGAGAGTAAAGCATGTCCTCCAATCTATTACTTCAGAGTAGTGATCAATAACGTATGGGGGGGAAACTATGTAAAGGCAAAACATCAAGCTAAAAAAAGACCCAATAAATATTCTACTCTGTACTTTCTATGTTTGCCTTCCACACTAAGAATACCAGCCTGGTACGTGATATGGTTACGAATAATTTCTACAAAGACGTTACTAGGGCCAAAGTGAAGTGAACCGAGCAACATTTCATACCCCCATTTTTAGCCAGTCCAGGATGGTAGATAAAGTTGTGGTCTAGTTGTTAAAAGGATACAGGCTATACTGGGCAAGTCTTAACATGCGGCATTTATTTCATTACAGCTCTCTAGACACTACTGCCTGATAGCAAATAACACAACAGGACTTCATTTTAAACCAGTGGTTCCCAACCTATGGGTCTCCAGATGTTTTGGTCTTCAACTCCCAGAAATCCTAACAGCTGGTCAACTGGCTGGGATATCGAGAAGTTGTAGGCCAAAACATCTGGGGACCCACAGGTCGAGAACCATTGTATTAAACACCGAGTGCATTTATTGCAGTGAATTTTTACAGCACCACTCTACATTACATATTCAAAACACCACATTATATCCTGAGTAGTGATATTCAAAATATACTGCAGCAGCATGAAAGAGACATATGATGGGATTTTAGATGAATAGAAAGCAAAAGAACATTATAAACAAAACAAGAAATTCCACTTAGCACTTGCACACGAGAAAGTGGTGCATATGTGTGCTTTCAAGTTATATTATATTTATTTATTTATTTATATTATTTATTTACTTTGTTTTATACCCCACCCTCTCTCTCCCTCATTGAAGGACTCAGGGTGGCTAACACCCAGCAACAATTGGATGCTGGGTTCGAACCTAGGACAATACAAATTCAAAATCCATATAAATCAAATACACAGAAATTTTAACATTTCATGTAAAACAACAGTACATGATAAAAACAGTATTAAAATTCATAGGGTTTTCTTAGCTAATAAATATTCAGAGTTAGTTTTAGTAGTTTCTTCCTCTTGAAAATAACTTGTAATGTCTCCCTGCTTATCTTCCAAGATCAGACCTAGTCACTTTAGGATATTTAGATATGAGGGAAGTTACCAGATCCAAATCTAAACATTCTTTTCGTCATTTGTGCAAACATGTCAGACAACAACAATTCAGGAAATCACTGTTTCATAGTGACTAGGAGAACAACTGATGTCTAACCTTAGATTATATTGCCTGTGTGCCAGATGTAGCTATTTTTATTTACTTCTATGTATTTAACTCACCAGATGTCACAGATCATATATTTGCATCAGTGAATCAATAGAAGGATGGAGGAGGACAGGAATAGCCCTTCCCTCCAACCCAGTTTCTATCCAATATCATTTGAACAACATAGTAATTACTACAGGTATACCAAGTATATTTACATTGGTAACAAAGTGCTTTTTATTCAATCAACTTGGGTGGGTGCAAAAGGAGATTTGTGTCTTTCCTCGTAATGATTTATTTTAAAATTTTATTTTTGCTTTAAAATCTGTTTTATATTTATTGTATTTTAATACCGTATTTTAATTTTGTCTTATTTAATGTCTAAATGCTGGCTGAGCATCCCTTATTCAAAACATTGGGAACAAAAGTGTTTTGAATTTCAGAATATTTCTATTTGCAAATTGGTCTAAAATTAGATATCTTGGCGATAGGACCCAAGTCTAACACAACATTCATCTGTATTTCATATACACTTTATATATATATAGCATGTGGATAATTTAATATGTATCATTTTAATATTTTTGTGCATGAAACAAAGTTTATATTCACTGAACCACCAGAAAGAGAAAATATTAGTCACCCAGAGACAATTTTGGAATATTTCAGATTTCAAGGTTCTGGATGTTCAATAAGTGTAACATTTATTGTATTTTATCATCAGTTGGGAGAGTTTTGATTATGTGTTCCTGCATGGCATGAGGATTGGACTGGATGGCTCTTGGGGTCTCTTCCAACACCAGGATTCTAATTATTTTTTTATTGCATTTTGATTCCATTTTATTGCATTTTACTTCAATTCAACAATATTTCTATGTTAAGTCCCATTTTTAAAGAGAGAAGTAAGGTACAAATATGATAAATAAGTATCTTCTGGCAGTGGGAAAACAATAAAACATCCGGCTGGTTAAGTATTACTGTAACTAGAGTTCATTTTAAGAGAGTTTATAAACATGTTTCTAGATTTATGTCAGCAAATTTCCAACTGTTGAACTGATTCTAATATATGAAACTACAAAACCAACCAGGTTTGCCTAAAACATCTCTTCTAATAGAGCTTCCTCTTCCCAGCAATGGTCAGCACCCACAAACAGACACAAAATTATGTTGTTGAAGGCATTCATGGGTTTTCTGGACGGTATGGTCATCTTCAAGGGCCCTTCCACACAGCCCTATATCCCAGAATATCAAGGCAGAAAATCCCACATTATCCGAGTGTGGGCTCAGATAACCCAGTTCAAAGTAGATACTGTGGGATTTTCTGCCTTGATATTCTGGGATATAGGGCTTTGTGGAAGGGCTCCCAGAAGCATTCTTTCCTATGCTTAAGAGAGAATGTTTCTGGAAAATAGCAATACAGCCTGGAAAACTCATTTTCTGCCTTGATATTCTGGGTTATAGGGCTGCGTGGAAGGGCCCTGAGTCTACACTGCCATATATTTTAGGGCCCTTCCACACAGCCCTATATCCCAGAATATCAAGGCAGAAAATCCCACATATCTGAGTGTGGACTCAGATAACCCAGTTCAAAGCAGATATTGTGGGATGTCTGCCTTGGGATTCTAGGTTATAGGGCTATGTGGAAGGGCCCTGAGTCTGCACTGCCATATACTCCAGTTCAAAGCAGATATTGTGGGATTTTCAGCCTTGATATCCTGGGATATAGGGCTGTGTAGAAGGGCCCTGGGTGTGTGTATGGGGGACCCATAGGACACACCCCTGAGCCCCTTTGGGTGTAGCTACACTGCAGAATCAAGGCATTTTGGACCACAACACATTCTTATTTGCATTGCTGCTGTTATGATGATGATTTGGCTGTTTCCATGGAAACAGGAGAGGCCTAGAAAGAACTTGTGGCATGGCACACACAAAAACATGTTGCTTTCTATCTCTCCCCCCCCCCCCCCAAATGAATGGCTTTCCAGCAGGCATGAGCAAACTTGGGCCCTCCAGGTGAGGGGCTGAGGGGGAAAAGGAAGGAGCCTGAGGTTGTGAGGAATGGTGGGAGTTGGAGTCCAAAACACCTGAAGCGCCCAAGTTTGCTGAAAAGAGTAACAAAGAATCCCATTCAAACCAGCCCCGCCTCAGCACTGGCCTTTTTGTGGGGTGCGCCTGCGTTTGTAAAGAGCCCCAACCCCTCCTCCTCCTCCTCCTCCTCCTTTGATGGAGGAAGAAAGGATGGTGAGGAAGGGCTGGCCCTATTCATCCCAAGAAGTTCTGGAAAGAAAGGCAAGCAGAAGAAAAGCGGTACGTACCTCTCTGGGGAGGCAGCTTTGAATGGGCATCAAGATGCTCTGCAGAAAGGAGATGTGGAGGAGACTGAAGTCAGGGGGTAAAAAAGAAGAAGCGAAGCGAGCCAGGCTCCACCCTCAGGGTGGGTCCTTTCAAAGAAGAGAGAAGGGAGGGAGAAAATGGAGGAGGGGGAGGAAGGAAGGAAGAGAAAGAGAAAGAAAAGGACCCCATGGCTGACGCCTCTCTCTTTCCCCCTTTGGGTCACTTCCTTGCAAAGCAACTGAGGGGGGGAAAGAGAAAGGAAAAAGGCACCTTTTCCTCCTGTAACCTGAGCCAAGGAGCCCTCCCATCATATACATACATACAGAGAGAGATGCATTGAGACAGATCCACATACATAACCCAGATTCACACAGACATAAAGGAACACACACACTCAGAGATACACTGAAGCACATGCACGTCCTTGCATCCACCCATATGTATCCACAGAGGCATACAAAAGCACACGCATAAGAGCACAAATAGCAGTTCACTCACAGAAATGTGCAGGTAGGAACACAAAGAAATACACACATACATGCACACACACACATGTATCCACAGAGATAAACAAGGCATACAAAAGTGCACACATAAATGCATAAATAGGAGTTCAGTCACAGAAACGTGCAGGTAGGAACACAAAGGAATGCACACATATATGCACACACACACACGTATCCACAGAGATAAACAAGGCATACAAAAGTACACACATAAGAGCACAAATAGTTCAGTCACAGAAACCTGCAGGTAGGAACACAAAGGAATACACACACACACACACATTTGCACACATACATGTATCCACACAGATAAACAAGGCATATAAAAGCACACACATGAATGCACAAATAGGATTTCAGTCACAGAAATGTGCAGTGCAGATACAAACACAAAGGAATACACATACAGGTGCACTGAAACATATGTTCTTATGTACACCTACACCCACAAACGGCAATATAGACACATAGAAACAAACATGCACACACAGGGAAACAATTAGGCACATATATTTGGAAACAGCAATATAGACACAGAAACAAACAAGCACACACAGAGAAATAATTAGAAATGTAAACAAAGGGATACGGTCAGACACAGAAATGCATACACACAGACTTAAATCAGTAGACGTACATGCGCAAAGACACAAAAATGCAGGCACACAGAAGCAGGCATACAAAGATGCAGAAAAGTACACTCGCACGCATGCACATATACACCCACATACATCAACACACATGCAAACACACAACATGCATGCATGAATATACAAGACTACAAAGAAACATACATAACATGCACATAAGTACACAGAAAAATGCACAAACAAATGTATTCACATGCATGAACAAGCAAAGATGCACAAAGAATCGCAAGTAGACACACATAAACATACATGCACACAGAGACACAGAAAGGTGCACATACACATGTACATATACACATATGCACATATACTGTATACACACATACACATACACATAAACATATATAGAAACAGAAATACAGACACACAGAAACAATACATGCAGATGCAGAGAGAGCTACAAGTACTTATATACAGAAACCCTCACATGTATGCACAAAACACACATTCCTGCATGCACAAACACAGAAACATGCATGCATACAGAAATACATGCACACACATACAAACACATGCAATCACACACAGACATGCACATAGAGAAACACACAAATACATACATGAACACACACTCACATAGGTTTTTACATAGAGGCTGGATGGCCATCTGTTGGGGTGCTTTGATTGTGCTTTTCCTGCATGGCAGGGGGTTGGACTGGATGGCCCATTTGGTCTCTTCCAACACTATGGTTCAACACACACACACACACACATACCTGAAAACACATACACACTAAAACGCACACACATGGCCTTCAGCTGTTATTAGAAACCATCCCTCAGACAAAGGGCCTTTTGTACAGCATCTTTCCTCTTAATCTCTCTTCCATGCACCAGAGAAATGAGAAGAAGGAAAGAACCTAGTTAATATACTTTCTAGGCTGACAACTGGTGTCATGCCTGGAGTGCCATTTTTCAGATTAGATCGGGATTTTTTGAAAACCAGAAGCAACAGATCGAATGTGCAAATGCTTGTCTGGAAATCTGGTAAGGCATGAAAAACAGACCTGGTTTCTCAGAAAGGCAAGCCAGTGAGGACTTGTAAAAAATTAAGTAGTTGGTCCCTGGAAGCTTTGGCTCTTGTAAATGTGATGGGAAAGTTTGCATGGCTTAGTAATTTGAGTGTTGCACTATAACTCTGGAAACAAAGGTTCAAATCCCTGATTGCCCAGGAAAACCTACTAGGTGACTGTCAGCAAGTCACACATGCCATGAAGGTTGCCATAAGTCAGAAAGGATGGCACACAACAACAATAACAACACATAATGCCATCAATTGCAGCCTAAATCCTATTTTAGTTTTTACTGAAACTAAAAGCATTATACCTGGAAATAATTATACGTCAGGACAAAAAGCAACCCTGAAGGACTTATATTTGTGTCTCAGAAACAGGTGCTTCAGACAAATAACATCCAGACAAACATTAAAAAAAAACAACAACCTATGGATAGTATGTATTGTTTATCTGAAAAAAATGAAACTGTTAACCATTTTAGTTGATACACCAAAACTGTAAGAAACTCTGTGACAAAACATTTGTAAACAATTGATGGAAACATAAAACCCAAAGAGCGACGTAAAATTCCTGGAGGAAGCTACTGAATAGATGAGATGATTTCTCTTATGAAAAAAGAATAATGGAAGAGACACAGTTATGATAGGTGTTAAGGATAAGCTAAATCCTGTGCATTTTCATAATGCAACAGCACAGGAGTGTTTGTTTAAATAGAAAATGGATTGAAAACAAGAAAGAATTGGATACTTTTTTTGCAAACTGTGCATTTACACTAGAATCCATTGACAGAGGATGTTGCAATGGCAAGTAGCATAAAAAGCACTTAAGAATAAATGACAGATAAATGCAAGGTAGCTACTGTCTACAATCGCAAAAAGAATGTCTCAGCTTTTAGAGGCAATATACCAATATGCTGTGGATTAATGGGATCAATGTCATCATATAACATTATAGGCTGTGTATGTACCGTAATATTCCACCTGGCTGCTGTCAGTAGATAGAACATTGCACCAGTTGGACTATTGTTAAGGCTCATAACAGCTGAATAAAATTGTTCCAACATGCAAGCCAATCCTAAACCTCAGGTGAGCAGGAGTAAAAGAGAAATCTAGTCTAGTACATCTGATTTGCAGTTATTAAACATAATTCAGACTCTGCTTCACTTCATTAAAAAGACAATCCAGCATAATGGTTAGAGTGCCAGGTGAAGATAAAGGAGAGTCTGAATCAAATCCACTCTCACAATGTTCACTCAGGTCCCTTCTACACAGCTACTTTGAGCTGGAATATAAGGCAGTGTGAACTTCAATAACCCAGTTTAAAGCAGATATTGTGGGACTTTCTGATTTGATGTTCTGGGTTATATGGCTGTGTGGAAGGCTTCTCACTGTATTTTTCTCTTGGTTTCACTACTTTCACTGACACAGGAGATGGCCTTTCTCCATGACTGTCCTCACAGGAGGTTTCATTGGCTTTCTTCCTATTATTGTTCCATCATTTGGTTCAGATGCACCTAGGAGATGTGAATTCTGTTACTATGGGATGTGTGAAATGGTGCATTGAAATTTATTTTTAATTTATTTATTATTTATATTTATCATTTATTTATTTATGCATATTTATTGATTTATTAATAATGTTATCTTAAATATGTTTTAACCATTTTAATAGCCTTGGTATTTAATTTTTAACTTTTGTAGACTATTTTAGTATCTATATAAATAAAAATGTAATGTTCGTTTGTGGGATTAAAAACTCAAAAACCACTGGATGAATTGCCGCCAACTTTGGCCACAAAACACCTACTAACCCAAGGAGTGACCATCACTCAAAAATATTTTGTCATTTGGGAGTTGTAGTTATTGGGATTTATAGTTCACCCACAATCAAAGAGCATTCTGAACTCCACCAATGATGGAATTGAACCAAATGTGGCACACAGTAGTCCCATGACCAACGGAAAACACTAGAAGGGTTTGGTGGGCATTGACCTTGAGTCTGGGAGTTATTGTTCACCTTCATCCAGAGAGCACTGTGGACTCAAACAAAGATGAGTCTGGACCAAACTTGGCACAAAGATTCCATGTTCCGAAATGTGAACACTGGTGGAGTTTGGGGAAAATAGAGGTCAAGACATTTGGGCATATGGAATATTCATGCCAAGTTTGATCCAGATTCATCATTGTTTGAGTCCACAGTGCTCTCTGGATGTAGGTGAGCTATAACTCCCAGACTCAAGATCAAGACATTTGGGAGTTGCAGTTACTGGGATTTATAGTTCACCTACAATCAAAGAGCATTCTGAACCCCACCAATGACAGAATTGGGGCAAACTTCCCACACAGAACCCCATGACCAACAGAAAATACTTAAAGCCATCCAGTCCAACTCCCTTCACCAGGGCAAGAAAATGTAATCAAAACCCTCCTGACAAAGAGCCATCCAGCCATATATATATATATATATATATATATAGATAGATAGATAGATAGATAGATAGATAGATATGATTCACACACACAGATATAGTATGATAGATTTGAAAGGGAACCCCAAAGAAGGACAATTATATGCTGTATGTTCCAGAGTAGGCAAACCAGATGATCTCCACATCAACACTGACAAAGAAAGAACAGGAAATTCTGTTTATTCACAAGCATAAAGAAATTACATATATTAGAAATCAAGACTTTCTCATTACTTTATCCACCCCCCCCCCCAAGAAGCCTTTTCTTTAATGTAGAATTCAGTCCTTTCATTAATGTGAAAAGTTGTACCTGTTTAGTCTGTGCAATTGGAGGAAAATTATTATAATTCATGTTAAAGAACTTAGCACATTTACAGGCTTAATGATGGAAAGAGGTAAAATCTAAATGGGGGAGAAAGCAAAACTGATAGTTGCTCCAGGACTTAAACGTGACACAGAGCATTCATAAGAAGTCAAACATTGGAAGTCATTGGCAAGGGAATGTGTGGAA